CCGGCGTGAGACGTGGAGAACCCCGGTGCCCGCCCCCCAGCCGAGCGATGGGGGACAGCAGCTCCCTCCACGTCTGGACACACTGGGCCGCGCGGTGACAGAGTTGTGCTTCTCCGCTCTAGGGTGCGACTGGTCCGGCCGGCCCCAACGGGGCCCAAGGTCCCCCCGGTCTGCAGGGGATGGGGGGCGAGAGGGGAGCAGCTGGCATCGGCGGACCCAAGGGAGACCGGGTGAGTGGCGCCTTCCACGGGGTCAGGCGTTGCACAGGGCACCAAGGTGGGGCTGGGCCCGGCGGGCGAGAGCCAGGGAGGCCATCGCGGGCTCCGTAGACACGGGGAGCTGGCCCATGGCTCCAGGGAGCGGCAGGGGGATTGGCAAGGGGGGACCCGCACAGCACGGACTGGATCTGCCTCCAGGACGTCGACCATGCAGAGAGCTCAGCCCGCAGGCCGGAGGACACGAGATCGGCTGCGGGGTGGGATCCCTCCCCCATCCCCGGCCGGGCAGGGACCTGGGTCTCTGGGGGCTGTGACACACGGGAAGAGGAGGATCTGAGGTCCCCACAGCAGCTGAAAGACCAGCTGCCAATCAAGCCGTGCAAGGATTCTGGGATCTTTGCTGCCTGCTCCGGGGCGCGATGGGGGCGGGGCTCACAGGCCACCATTGCCCTGCGATGGGTCAGCCACCCGGCTGGCTGGGGACTAACGTCTCTGACCTCCTCCCCCAGGGCGACATCGGTGAGAAAGGCCCGGAGGGAGCTCCCGGCAAGGACGGCGGAAGAGTGAGTAGAGCGGAAAGCGGCACTTGCTTACACGGTCGCGGGGACTGAGTTAACGTGCAATTGCCTGGCCTGCTACAGGAGCAGGGGGCCCCGGGGAGAGACGCTGCAGGGTGGAAACTACAACTAGGTGGAGACCAGCAGAGCACTACAAGCATCAGGGGACGAGCTGTCTTGGTCAGGCATCGGATCAGTGCAGTGCAACAACTGTCAAAGAGCTGTAGCCTTCAGGCAGGGCTGTTGCAGGGAGCTTACAGGCCAAGCGCTGATTAGCAATGAGAAAGCCGTAGCAGTCTGGCTGTAGCAGCGTAGCCGGCAGAGGGTGATAGCAGTCTGGCTGTAGTAGCGTAGCTGGCAGAAGGTCATAGCAGTCTGACTGTAGCAGTCTGATTGTAGCAGCATGGCTGGCAGAGGGCTGTAGCAGTCTGGCTGTAGCAGTGTAGCTGGCAGAAGGTTGTAGCTAGCAGTCTGACTCAGTGGTTGTAGCAGCATAGCAGGCAGAGGGCTGTAGCAGTCTGACTGTAGCAGTCTGATTGTAGCAGCATGGCTGGCAGAGGGCTGTAGCAGTCTGGAGTATAGCGCATAGCTGGCAGAGGGCTGTAGCGGCATAGCCGGCAGAAGGTTGCAACAGTCTGACTGTACTAGTGGTTGCAGCAGTATAGCGGGCAGAGGGCTGTTGCAGTGGAAATGTCAGGCTGTAGCTGGGAGGCAGTCCGGCTGTAGCAGGTGGAGGGTTTCAGACCGATCCCTAGGGCTTTGGGACACGGCGCCCTGTGCCCCGGGAGCTCTGAGTCCCGGCTCGGATCCCGCTCACACAACCAGCAGCTGCTTCTCACGGCCACCTGCTCACCCTCCTCTCCCTCTTCCTAGGGTCTGACAGGTCCCATTGGCCCCCCTGGCCCTGCTGGCCCCAACGGCGAGAAGGTAAGAACCCAGGAGCCCTGCCTGACCCCTGGCTGGGAGCGGGGGGG